AGGAATTGATTCATACTTCTGGGAGGGATGAGTAGGAATTCCTCATGGTGACACTCATCTCAGTTTTTGTTTTCTTTCAGCCCACGGATGTTGACAAAGGTGGGTTGCAGCCACAGCATCTTACATTGGCTCTAGCAGTCCTTCTTTCCCCTGGGTTGAGAGTCTGACCTAGAGTGCAGAGCCAGCCAAGGTGGCATTGGGATGCTTCCTGGTTCTGAGTCTTCATAAGCATCAGGTCTTGCTTTATGGAATAGACAGAGGATGAGTGAGTCTGGAGTTCCCTCCACCTTCCTGGGCAATGGCAAGGCATATTTGCTCTTAGATATAATTCTTCCAGGTCTGGGGTTCTGAGGAGGTGAGGCAGAGGTTGAGAGTGTAATGTTCTGGGTACCTTACTCACATTTCAACCAGAGTAGCTCATGATTAGTTGGAGTTTGGTTAAAATTTTGTTAGGTAAAAGAGCTCTGTTGTCTGAAAAAATGTTTCTGTGAAAGCTACAGGTTGGAAATATGTTGTGGAGAGGAAGTTTTGAGAGCCTCAGTTCAAAAATCTGAGCAGAGTTCTCTTTTTCCCCTAGGACCTGGGTCTGCCAAGGAGTTGATCAAGTCCATCAATGAAAAGTTTGCTGGGTCTGCCAGCTGGGAAGGCACTGAATCATATCCTTTATTTTAATATGTTCCTGGGTTCCAGAGAACTGTTCTCTTTTCATTCCAACTCCACCTGCCTTCCTGCTCCCTCATACCCCTCCATCTGCTCCTTCCCTTTTGTGTTGAGTTTTTTGACAGGTGTGAAATGCTTTGGTCCTTCCCCAGAGGATCCACTGAAGCTCACAGCCCTTTCCTTAAAATTTTCATGTTGGAGCTTCTATTCCTTGGCCCCTCCTGCCTGAAGCTTTTCTGTGATAGGAGAAATTCTATCTAGTGTTTTCTTTAACATAGCATATGCTAAAGAAGCCAGAAGACAAAAAGCAGCTGGGAGATTTCTTTGGCATGTCCAACAGTTATGCAGAGTGCTACCCAGCTACGTAAGTAAGACCCTGTTAAGGGAGGCTGGGATGGTTGGAGAACAATTTAGGGGCTGAGGTGGAAATTTGATTTGCTGGAACCCAGGAGTACGTCTTACTTAAATGAATTATTCTATTGGACTCTGATTTGGGAGGTCTGGGGTGGTCATTCCCAGGCAGATAGTCTCTTAGGTGAGTTGGTTTCCGGATGAAGCATAAGGATCTGGGTCTGCAGCATTTGTTTAACTGTTGCTTCTCTTTAGGATGGATGACATGGCTGTGGATAGTGACGAGGAGGTGGATTATAGCAAAATGGACCAGGTGTGTAGTTAGAAGGATGGTGGGGGCCTTTGGGCTGTTACTCTTTAGCACATATCTTCTTTGCCACTTCCAGAAATTCTGTCTCTCATTTACTGGGCCCTACCCTCCTTCAGCAGCAGCAATAGAAGCAGCAGCATTGTGGGTCACAAGCAGCTTAACTGTTTTGCATAAAATCACATGAAAGAGAGCCAAAAATCTATTTCTTATTTCCTACAACAAAGTGCCAGGCTTTGATTCCCATCCTAGGCAGTAAGCAAGTATTAACGCATAAGCAGAAAGGACAGAAGGAATTGCTAGTCTTTAGAAAATAAATGAATTTTATTCTAGCCGGGATTGAACTTTTTCTCTACATCTTAAAGTTAAAAAACAAAACAAACCACCACTAACACCATTGATGGTGAAGAAATCTCATCTACATTTCCCTTATTGTCTGTGTACTGCAGTGGTTAAGAGCATGGTTTAATCTTGGAGCCTTGTTTAATCCTGCCATGGCCATTTATTAGTTTTATGATCTTGCCAAGTTTTTTTTTTTACTGCTTATGCCTCAGTTTCCTCATCAGGATAATGGAGAGAAATATAGTTCCTCTTCATGGACTTTCTGTAAAAATTAAATAAGATGTGTCTGCTGTTCAGAATAATGCCTGGCACAGTAAGTATGTAGTAAGCATTTATTATTTATTAGGGTAGGATTTATGAATGGTGAAACCTGGGATTGTGGGAGAGTCTGGTTTTACTCAAGGGCTGAAATTCCATTTTCACTGACATCTCTTCCTTCCCCACCCCCCCCTTCTGTCCTGTAATAGGGTAATAAGAAGGGCCCCTTAGGTCGCTGGGACTTTGATACCCAGGAGGAATACAGCGAGTATATGAACAACAAAGAGGCTTTGCCCAAGTGAGTTGGTATTGAATGTGGGCAGGGAGTAAAGAGGGGTATGGAGATTTTGTGGACTAGCTCACACCAGGTTAGAGGGTGTGGTCTGGCTGAGATATTCTTAAAGAGGTCTCTGCCCACAGGGTCTTCTGGGAAAACCCTGCTACTGCTATGCAAGGTTCTGTTGCCATCTTCCCCCAATTGTCTTTTTTGTCCTCAGGGCTGCATTCCAGTATGGTATCAAGATGTCTGAAGGGCGGAAAACTAGGCGCTTCAAGGAAACCAATGACAAGGCAGAGCTTGATCGCCAGTGGAAGAAAATTAGTGCAGTAAGTCGGACTGCCCCTTGGATGGGAGGTTTCAGTTGGGAGTTAGACATGGGCCCACAGATCCAGGAATAGGCATGAAGTTGGAGAGCCACAGAAGTGAGAGAGAGGTCAGCCTTGGGCCTCAGGTGAGCCTAGACTGGCAGTGTGACTGCGGTATAGACAATCACTGTTCTTTTTGCAGATCATTGAGAAGAGGAAGAAGATGGAAGCTGATGGGTGAGCAGCAGCATTCTTCCTCTGCGGGACTGGTGGGAATTGCTTAATGTATTGATCTTATGCTGACCCATTTCTCCTTCCATTGCAGGGTTGAAGTGAAGAGACCAAAGTACTAATCTCTAGTTCCAACTGGAGAATCTCCACAAAGATGTGCTCCCCACTGCTTTCTTTCTACAGTTCCCAAAAAGGTTGCAAGATGGGTTTTTTTTGTGAATGTATATACAATTTTATTGTATAATCATTTGGTTCCATTAAAATTGATTAACCTGCTGTCTTATCTTTTCTACATTGAGCATCCCCCCCTAGGGTCTCAGGAACGCCAAAAAGGCTAATTCCACTGGTTGTATAAAATCACGTGCAGAAAGTCATATTAGTTCTTTCCTGAGCTGTGGTTCTAGATTCTTAGTAAGAATGTTTACTAGCTAGTGTGCCCAGTGGAGAAGGGAATAATGACTGTCACTGATAGGCAGGAAGAATGTAAGGATTATTGGTCTTAAATGTGACTCAGTCAGGCCCATCTGGGGGCCTAGTCCCAGGAAAGAGATTCCCTGAGGATTAAGGTCAGCCTGCTGGGCTGTCAATCTGATCCCAGGGCTGCGCAGGATTGGGCTCTGGGTGAAGGCATCTGATGAAAATCACTTGTGCGAACAAAAACCTTTTATGAGTTTTTTCCCTCCTAGGAGATGTAGTAATGCTGAGTACAGATCACTGCATTGTTGGCTGAAGGGATAACCTTGGGGAAGTGCCTTTGGTACCCCCAACAGGTGCAGCCTGGCCCTGCAGATACAGAAATCACTATCCTAGGCCAGAAGGGTTTGGTATTCTTCAACGCCCTGGAAAGCCAAGGCCAGGGTGAGCCTGTCTCTGACTTTCAAATCACTCCATCCCCCATCCATTTCTGCCTCTCTTCTCATTGTCAGCCCTTTGGTCTGGTGCTCATCATTAGAGATCACTACTTTCTGGCTAGATACAAAGCTGCTATGCCTACCCTAAGTCCATGACTGATCCAAGGACAGCTAGAAAGTCACCTTGGCCATTCCCTTGTATTTGATCATTTCTATCTTGATAGGACAGAGCTTTTTGAGGAAACCAGCTTTGTGCATGGCACTTAAGGGGCTGAAATTGGGCCCTGCCTGCAACAGCAGCTAGGGTGGCTAGTTTCAGACAAATGATGCGCTGGTCCCACGGTTGTAGGCGGCAGTCTCAATTGGGGAAAAGGTCACAGAGATGTCTCAGAGGAAAATACCTGGAGGATCACTAAGAGCAAGACCTGGGCATTGACTACCAGTTTAAAATTGTTTCTGCAAGACCACCAACCCCCATGGAAGTGACCAAGGCCGCCTGGTTGGCCACATAGTGACAAGAACTCAACACCACACAGCAAATTTCCCAGTCACTCAGCAAGCGGGATACAGAGCCTCTCTAACCTCACTTTTTTCACCTCTTTAGGGATGTTGGGCATCAGCATATGAGATATCTTAGAAAGCTTAGTACTACAGAGATGTGAGCAGGTTCTCTTCAGCCACAGGAGCACCTACTCCTCATCTGCTGCGCCATGAAGAGCCCTCCCATCTTTGTGGAGTCTGGTAACAGCGATGTCCAGAACGTCAGCTGTGGTGCCACTTTTCCTGTTTGGCAATTTCTTGGTAGATCTGAGCACAGCCGGTCCAGCCCGCTGAGGGTTTGGAGCCAAACTGTAGGAACGGGCGCAGGGCGCTGTTCGTTTGGCCACGAAGACTTTGGGCGTAGACAGCAGCGGCTTGAGTGTGTGCGCAGGCTGCCCGCTGTCCGTGACGCGTATGTCATCTCGCGGCGTGAGCTTTTGCTGCTTCCCGACTGCTCTGGCTGTCGCTTGCCATAATCTTGGGTTTTACCAAGCCACGAACGACTGGCGTCCCTCTCTCCTATCCCGAGGTCATTAAGTCCTCCTGGTTGTAGGAGGGAACACCAAACTGTCAGTATGGGTCAGGATGAGGGGAAAGGACTTTACACAGTTCCCAACTTCACGTGAAGTGACTACGGAGGGAGGGGATTGACAGTCGCACTGTCAAGCTAGCTCAAGCACTGGGCACAGGTGGACAAGGAAGCGGTGGACCGCGGAGTCGCAACCTCCCGGGTCCTCTCCAGCCGCAACCGCGGTGGCCCGCCCATCTCTTCTGGGAGACGGAGAATGCCGACGACATTTCCGGTCCCGCCCCGCGACGCGGAAGCTGCGTGCTGGGCCACTCCGGCGTGTGACTCGTTCCCGGGCTGCCGGCCCTTCAGCAGCTCGCCTCACAATCCTCCCTGGCATGGACCGCAAGTGTGAGGAGAGGCCCGCAGAGGATGGGAGTGACGAGGAGGACCCTGACCCCATGGCAGCCCCGGCGCGGATCCGGGACACCCCCGAAGACATCTTGCTGGAAGCGCCGGCCTGTGGGCTGGCGCTCCATCCGGCCCGCGACATCCTGGCAGCAGGGGACGTGGACGGGGACGTGTTCGTGTGAGTGCGGGGCAGGGCCGGAGGCGTGGTGAGAGTGGGGGCGTAGGAGCTCCTAGTCTGGAATCTCCCCAGGGATGGAGCTGGGACGAGGAAGGAGGAGAGAAGGTTGCAGGGAGACGAATTTTGCAAGACTCGCTGTTCGTCCAATAACATTAGGCTTTAAACAAGTCACCACACAAATCTGTTGAACAAACTGAAAGAAGTTGAACGAACTGAAAGAAAGGAGGACAAAGTAGCTGGCATTGTCGTGACGGAGCCCAGCGACATTAGAAGACAAGAAGGGGTCTAAGGCCCCGTTATTTCCTACTGAATTATTATATTGAACCTGAAACAGTCTCAACGGGCCTATTGCTTTTGCTTCTTGCCCCTTTAATCGATCTTTCAAAAACACGAATCCAACCAGTCCCTTCATTGATTAAAACCCTCCAATGGCCTACTTTTAGAATTTAGTAAAATCTCCTTAATCCGGCTTTTAAGTCCTTACCATCTGGCCCTTGCCTGTTCTTCCTTTTGCTTTCTGTGCTCACTCATCCTTATCTTTTAAATGTATCTTGAAGCCTCAATTCCTTTGCACACCCTATTCCTTCTTCCTTGAAAACTCTTTCTCCCTCACTTTTACCTACTATCCTGAGTTCTCAGCATCTCTTCCCTCTTCCTCCATGCCCCAGATTAAATTAGGTTACCTGGTGGATACTGCCATGGCTCTAGGAAGCATGGCACTTTTCCTTCATAAACTTCACTGGTATAATGATTTGTAAACACACATCCGTTTGTGTAATTATTCGAATGCTTGCCTCCTCCATTAAAGAAATGTTTTTCAGATTTTTTACCTTGCTCCGCTCCACAGTAAAAATACCTCTTATGTTATTTGTGATGCACTCTGATAATTTCTGGTTTATTTTATTCTATCATTCCCATATGCATATACACAGTGCAGATTGCAACTTTCTAATAGATTATGACTGGAATTTGAAGAACACTGTTCTGGAGTGTAATCTGTAGTCTGTTTTATTCCCTGGTTTATCTCCTTCCTCTAGTCCAGGGTAGGTGCCCAATACATGTTTGATTTTGAAAAAATAATGGAGGCTGGAAGCATTGCAAAGCCACTAAAGGTTTTAACCAGGAGAATTGTGCTATCAGATTTACTTGATAACTTTAAAATTTAATCCCTCATTAACTGTAATGGCCTTAGGCAAGTTAACTTCTGCATTTTCATCTTTTTTTTGGGGGGGGGAGGGCTGCTGGTGGGTAAAGGGATCTGAACCCCTGACTTTGGTGTTATTCATTTTCATCTTTGAAAATGGGAATAATAATACCTACCCTGCAGGGGGGACAGTGTTTAGTACAGTGCCTGAGCAGTTAAACAAATATAGGTTACTTTCTATACTGTCCATATTTACAGTGCCAGACACTTGGGAGTCACCTAGACCTCCACTTTTCTGTACACCTCCAAACCCCCATTGCTTTGGTTTGTTATCAGTTTCTTTTTCAGTCTCAGAAAAGGTTCTGGAGGGCACCCCTGGGGTCTCCCCATTCCCCTTCCACAGCCACTGCCTTCTGGTGGGCCTCTGACTTCTTATTGCTTTGGTTTGTTATCAGTTTCTTTTTCAGTCTCAGAAAAGGTTCTGGAGGGCACCCCTTGGGTCTCCCCATTCCCCTTCCACAGCCACTGCCTTCTGGTGGGCCTCTGACTTCTTCTATGACCATTCCAGAGAGGTTCCTTTTCCCAGAAGATTAAATTGAGACTTGTGCTTGGCCTACATAGTCTCAAGCCCAGTCCAGCCCATCTTTCCAGATTCAGCAATGCCCCTCTCTTGCCACTTGAACCCTCCTCATTCCTTGTCTCTGCTCTAGAAGGGACATCAATGTCTGCCTCCAGTATCTCTACCCCTTGTTCTCCGCCAAGTGAGCTCTTACTTATTCCTTATGATCCAACTCACATGTCATCACTTTAGTTTTCCAGGGCTCTCTTCTTCCTTCCTAAGTATTCAATCTGTGAATATTAAACAACTTTTTCATGCTAGGCACTGAGAAAGCAATGAGTAGACCCAGTTCTGCCCGCCTGCAACTCACTGACAGTTAAGCATTTATTCATTCAGCCCTTTTTGAGGATTTTCTCTGAGGTAGGCATTGGGGATATTCTCCAGACTGGTACTTGCCTCAAAGCTGAGTTTACATGGCTGGTTGGTTAGCTCACTTGGTTAGAGCATGGTGCTGATAACACCAAGGTCCAGGGTTCTATCCCTGTACTGGCTAGCAGCAAAAAAAAAAAGCCGAGTTTACAGGCTGGTCCCTCTGCACCACCTCCATTTTGATCCTACCTCTTTTTCAGCATGTGGTCACAATGTGCTGTAATTAATTGTGGCTTTCTCTAGCTTCTGCAGATCTGGAGGGCAAGAGCCCCTGCCTTGGTGATTTTTTACATTCCCAACTTCTGGGGCTGATCTAATGTCATTGATTTAACAGATATTTCTGTGCCTCTGCAGTGGTCCAGACCCAATTTTTCCCTAGTCTGGGGCTTTCAAGGATGGTGAAGAGGGGCAGGATGGAGTGAGGTCACAAAAGTTCTGAGCAAATGTACCTTGAATTAATGTATATTGAATGAAAATAAGCCGTAACATTTGAAGTACACTGAAAGTGGAGAAATGGGATGGTAAAATCTTTGGGGTTAGAGGTGTGCCAAGTGTAAGCAGGAACTCCTAGGTAGGTGAGAAGTTTGGTCTTATCTAGGTGGTCTCTGCACTCCATGCATCCGAGGTGGTGTCTGGAGTTATTCACTCTCCTCCCTCTCTCCCCAGTTTTTCCTACTCTTGCCAGGAAGGAGAAACCAAGGAGCTCTGGTCCTCAGGTCACCACCTCAAGTCCTGCCGAGCTGTGGTCTTCTCTGAAGATGGGCAGAGTGAGTACTGGGGAAGGCAGCCAGCAATGTGGTGGTGGAAAAGGAGCAGTGAGTAGCACCATGACCTGAGCACCTTTTCCTCCAGAACTTGTTACTGTCTCCAAGGACAAAGCCATCCACTTTCTAGATGTGGAGCAGGGCCGACTGGAAAGACGTATTTCCAAGGCTCATGGGTAAGGGGAGCCAGTTGTGTGTATGTGCACGGAGGTGAGGGGTAAGGACTGGGGCTACTGGGACAACAAAGATACTCCAAAAAGTAATCAATGCGTGTGTGTCTCCAGTGCCCCCATCAACAGTGTGCTGCTGGTGGATGAGAATGTTCTGGCCACTGGGGATGACACAGGTGGTGTCCGGCTCTGGGATCAGCGGAAGGAGGGCCCCTTAATGGATATGCGTCAGCATGAGGAGTACATCGCCGACATGGCTCTGGACCCAGCCAAGAAGCTGCTGCTGACAGCCAGGTAGAATCTCAGAGTTGCCTCCCTTCCCCACCCCTCCCTGTGTGAAATATCTTCCTCTAAGTTAGCTTCCAGCTAAGCCTGCTGTTCTCATTTCTACAGTGGGGATGGCTGCCTTGGCGTCTTCAACATCAAGCGACGCCGGTTTGAGCTACTTTCAGAGCCTCAGTCTGGGGACCTGACCACTGTCACCCTCATGAAAGTACAGCTGAGTATAGTGGCATGGCGGGGTGTGTGTGCTAAAGGCTTGGTCTAGGTGGCCTCAAAGATATGGTTTGCCTTCCCTTCCCGGCAGTGTGGGAAGAAGGTGGCCTGTGGCTCCAGTGAAGCTACCATCTACCTCTTCAACTGGAATGGCTTTGGGGCCACAAGTGACCGCTTTGCCCTGAGAGCTGAATCCATTGACTGCATGGTTCCAGTCACTGAGAGTCTGCTGTGCACTGGCTCCACTGATGGAGTCATCAGGTGAGGGAAGTCAAGACAGCCCTCATAGGAAGGGGAGGCCCAGCTAGCCAGTACTCCAACACTGTTCTTTCACTGTCCAGGGCTGTGAACATCCTGCCAAACCGTGTGGTGGGCAGTGTGGGCCAGCATGCTGGGCAGCCAGTGGAAGAGCTGGCCCTCTCCCACTGTGGCCGCTTCCTGGCCAGTAGTGGCCATGACCAGCGCCTCAAGTTTTGGGAAATGGCCCAGCTGCGAGCTGTGGTGGTGGATGATTACCGACGGCGCAAGAAGAAGGGACGACCACTGCGGGCCCTGAGCAGCAAAGCGTGGAGCAATGATGACTTCTTCTCAGGACTGAGGGAGGAGGGTGAGGACTCCACAGCTCGGGAGGAAGAGGAGGAGAATGAGGATGACAGTGACTGAAGGGATGAGCTGAGTCAGGACAGCTCCTCACCAGGCATGAGTCTTGCTTCCTGGGATGGATCACCAGAGAGAATATGAATTTATAATACTCTATTGTGCAGCTTAAGAAGATGCAGACAAGCCCAGGACTCCAGGCACTGATGAGAGCACCTGTAGTGGCTGCTCACTCTACCAGTGTAAGACAAACCCTAAGTTGGCGCAGGACAGCACAGACATGTGTACACCAACCAGGGGTTTAATATAAATACAACCAGCATAGAAAAACTCAAAACTATACATAAACCAAAACCAGATGCCAAGAAGTGGGGATAAAGGCAGAATTTCTGACCCTTTGGTTCAGCTGACCCTCCAAATAAAATCCAACCAAAAGAAATCAAGAAAATAACCACGATTCATACTAAGCTGTGGGAGGAAGGGGGGTGAGGGGACAAAGGTAGGTATGGGTGTCACCATGGGGCAGGTCTGACCCAGGGCTGGGAGGGGGAGGGCAAGGTCCTTCACCACAACATAAGCCAAACCTGAGCTGCCCCAGGTGCTAGGAGGCCCTGCCCAAGCAGGGGGGCTGTGTCAGACATGCAGCAGGACTCCTGCCCCTCCCCCAATGGGATCAGATAGTGGCCACCCAGGCCTGCTGGGCTGGAGACTGACACAGGCTCTGCCTACTTGTTTATTAGGCTGCCTGTGGAGAGAGAGTGGGGTCACTGCTTAACGAAGGTACCTGCCTCAGCCCCAGCAGACCACAAGAAGCTGGCCCCAGACTCACTCAGTGCCTCCAGCAGCTGTGCGGACACCGCATCCTTGGCTACCTCATGCCCATCCTGCCCATCTGGGGCCAGCACAACCCAGATAAGGCCGCTGAAAGGCACTGGATGACCAGGGATCACCACCTGATACCAGAAGTGGTGCCAGCCAGCAGGTCCTGTGCCCAAACACTTGGTGAGGAACACTGGGCTGCCAAGCTTCATTTGTTGGCACAGCAGCTGGAGGGCAGCCCGAGCCCCTTGTGACCCTAGCCTGTCCCTAGCCCAGGCCAATTGGCTGCCCTGCGGCTGTAGGCACCGCAGTGAGGGACCCACAAGGTTCTGGCGGAGTCGCTGCTTCAGGTCTGGCTTGAGCCACTCCACGGCCACCTGCTCTCCACAGAGGCGTGACTGCCCTGCAGGAAAAAGAGATAAGAGCAGGTCTAAGCCCTGGGCCCAAGCCTCCAAGACTCTGATCCCTTTGTAGTTACACAGGCCTGTTTAATTTATAGCCTCCCATTTCACGGTGGTGTGACCTTGGGTAAGAGAAGACTACGAAGCCTAGATAAGGCTTCATTGTCTTTATTTGTAAAGGGGGGGTAATAACTGCTACCTTCATAAGTTTCCTTGTAGAGTACTGGTCATTGCAGGCTTTGTCAACTTCATAACCATCACAATAGCTGATCTTTACTGTGAATACCTGCTAAGAATCATGAAATGTGCTAAATGCCCTAAACCCATTATGTTACTTCTCACAGCTGTCTTGAGAAAGCAGGTTCTATGGTAGATAACAGATAGGCTCAGTTGGACTTCCTTGGCCAAGTCAGTTTCTCTTATAACATTCTCATCTCTATTTTTCATTGGAATGTTGAGGATTAAGGCAGGAAATAATGCACGCTAAGAGTTAAGTTTAGGTAAGTGGCTCTCAGCTCAAATAGTGTAAGGTCGGAAACTCAGGCATGCTTGGTCCTAAGATTTTGTGACTTTAACGCCTATGTAAAGTGCCTGGCAGAACCTGTTTGGCCCCAACCAGCAGCCCCCCCGCAGCTTCCACCCTACCTTCCACCAGGGCCTTTTTGGCCATGGCTGCGGCGCGGTGCGAGCTGAACTTGAGCAGCGCGATCTGCGCGGGCACCGGCCCGGGGCTGGGCAGCAGCAGCGCCTCCTGCAGGTCAGGGCCCAGAGGCTGCAGCGCGAGCAACAGCGCACGGCGGCTCACGTCCGGCGGCAACCCATCCACGCTCAGCTCGCTCTTCTCGGTGCTGCGGCACACGAGCAGCGGGCAGGAGGGCCGCAGCGGGTGGTTGTGCAGCGTGGCGATGGCGGCCTGCGCGCCGCGCCGCGAGCTGTAGCGGGCGTAGGCGAAGCCGCGGTTTAGGCCGCTGAAGGTCATCATCAGGCGGAACTCGTAGAGGCGGCCCACGCGCTGGAATAGTGGGATCAGCTGGTGCTCGTAGACGTCCTGGGGCAGCCGCCCGATAAACACCTCCGACCCCGCTGGCGGCGGACTGCCTACCCAGCCTGGTGGATAGGGTAAGGAGGGGAAGCGTCATCCACCCCGATGGTTCCGAGTTTGGGGCCCAAGGAACTCAACGCGGGAGAGCACCCTGTGAGCAAACGTCTGTGAAATGGTTACAGCACCCGCACCTCGGGACATTGGATATCTAGGTGACTGAACTAACAACGGGGCTGGCAGAGTCAGTAGGGGAACCTTAAGACTAGCTCCATTCCTCGATGGGGCGGGTGGATGGGAACCACAGACAGATTTCCTGCTTGGGGGTGTAAATCCGGGTAGTTCGATGTTTCTGACTGTGGCGCCGGGGGCAGGCCCCTCCCCCCAAGGGAGGTTTGCGAGGCCGTCAAGGATGGAGTAGGCAGGCGTGGGGACTGGGGCTACCGTACCTGGGGGTGGCCCGCCATACTTCCTCTGCCCGTTCACCTGTACCAGGCGGATGCCTGTCTCCCTGACCCACGCCTCCAACGCCGCCTTGTTCTCTGGATTCACCTTCTCACACCATAGCTGAGAGGGAAAAGGCAGGTTGGAATGGCGGATCACCGAGCCCTCCCCAACCTCTCCTGTGGTGTTGTAGTCCATGTAGCAGCCCCCCGCCGCTCGGGTGGGGGCCAAAAAGCCAGCCACTTACCTCACACTCCCGCTTAGACTGCATGGCTCTCCCGCTGGCTGCCTGCACCCCCTTTATAACTTCCTCCCTATCCGCAGTCTGGAAACTTCCCTACCCCTCCACCCCGCAAGCTCTCGTTGGCTCTGAGCACGACCCCGCCCCCCGAGGGGGTGGAGCTATCCACCGCACGTGCGCCGCGCGGCGTCGGACTCTCAGGTGAAAACTACAAGTAGTCTAGCAGCGAGTCGCCTGGCAGCTTCCCGAGTGGCTCATGAACTTCAGGGAGGTTCCTCACCATGAGGAAGGGTCCGTGGGGCATACTGTAAGTCTTTCTCACTTTTCCATCCCTAAAATGGTCTGAATGGGAGGCTCAGGCTCTGACAGGAAGGCAGGACTAGGCATTAGTGACACAGGCAGGCTCCAGTGGTTGAGGCATTTTATTGGACCTTTGGCGATTGGTTTTGGGGAGGCATCTGTTCCATCTGGGGTCCGGTCCCTGTAGCCCAGAGGCACAGACGAGACTAAGCTCCTAGGGCCTCCTATGGGAAATAGAGTAGTACCTGGCCATTTTTGCCAGTGAACCAATAACAATCATCATAATAAAAGTCTCTGTTCTGACTACTTTTCAGGTCGGCCTGCTGAAACAGGAAGGCACAACGCTGTTGAAGTACATATGCAGAGTTCTCTGTCTTAGCCTCAAATAGTGCCAGTCCCACTTTCTTTCCTGACAGTTTGCTCAGTTCAGCAGATGCAGAGAGGCTGGCTTGTTCTCCTTTTGATTTCCTCCACAAGGTCTTCTCTTTGGACGTCCACCTGGCCAGGATGGAGGAAGAAGATGGTATGAGCAGCTTCTACTCCATTGCTCCCTGAGTACCTACTCCTTCCTCTAGTCATCAGGCTTGGCTCAGATGGCAGCAGGAACTCAATCATACTCCTCAGGATAGACAGTGCCTCTTAGGGAAGCCAGAAAGATGTAGGGTATATGTGGGGATGGAGATCTTACCCTACCACGACCACAGTAACCCTTATAGCTTGTGCTCGCTTCTGCAGCACATATACTAAAAAAACCTTTATGGTTAACACATAAGCCCTATGTCCTTTACAAGTTGGTACTAATATGAATGCCAGGGGTTTGCTCAGGTCTTAAATGGGCATGGGCTTGCCTACATGGCATATATTCCTTGTCCCTTAGCCTTCCTGCATGCCCCCTCACCTCTTCCCTGCTAGCCACTGAACGGAGCTTGATGACACCGTCCTTGAGCTCCTGCTCGCCGATGATGGCCACCAGTGGGATGCCTGCCTCCTCACAGTACTGCAACTGGTTCAGTAACTTTGGGTTCTTCTTGTAGAGCAGCTCGGCCTGCAGGGGACCAGGGCAGAAGATGAAGGCTGGCTTCTCCTGTCCTCAGGGACAACCTCCTGGGAGCCCAAGCTGGCTCTTTATTCTTAGTTCCACCCCAAAAAATTATGGCAGGAGTCACTATGGGTGAGCTTTTATTTAGTTTGTGCCCAGAACTCCCAAGTTAGCTGCCACCTGGGGTGTGCCTCCTGTACCTTAATCCCAGCATCCCACAGCTCTGAGACAAGCTTCAGTCTCTCCTCCAGCAGCTTCTTCTGTGCAGATGCCACAAGCACCTGTGTTTCTGTGGTTCTTATCTTTTCTTCCAAAGCCTGGGGAAGACGCAGATAGGAGTCAGAGAGCTGGGCTAACAATTTCAAGGAACAAACAGAGCAAGCTCTAGTCAGGATTTTTAGAGACCAGGCCCAACTCAGTGAGCTCCACCAGGGCAGGGGCCCAGTCTTCCCATCTAGCAACAGGGCATAAGGTAGCTCTTAGAATATACCGTATAAGAAATGTACACATGACTTGCCAGAATAAGTAATCTAGGGCAAGGGCAAAGGTAGTTTATTTACAGTAACTTCAGGTTCATCACCATCTAAGGGGCCATGAGAACATCCACACAGAAGTAGTACAGATTAAGCATCCCTAATCCAAAAATCTGAAATCCAAAATGCTCCAAAATCTGAAGCTTTTTGGGTGCCGACATGATGATGAACCAATATGTATTCTGAAAATATTCCAAAATCTGAAAAATGAAATCTGAAATGCTACTGGTCCCAAGCATTTCAGATAAGGGATACTCAATCTGTACTATGAGCCCACCCCTGGCAATCAAATCACCTCTGGCAGTTCTAGTCCTTACTTATTATCTGTTCATGAGACTATGCCTTTCATACTTCAGATACAGGGCACAACCCAGAGTATGTGTGGATTAGGGGTGTGGATCGGGGTTAGTGAGAATGCTACTGCTGCCCCTCGTGTTTTTCTGAAAAACTATTCAAAAAAAAATTTTTTTTGGCGGCTGGCTGGGATAGGGATCTTGAACCCTTGACCTTGGTGTTATAACACCATGCTCTAACCAACTGAGCTAACCGGCCAGCCCTGAAAAACTATTTTCATAGTTCTTACAACATAAGATACCTATTGGAACAATGACTTCAACTGGGAAGCATGGATGGTTTCCACCCTAGAGAAAAGGGATAGGAGCAGTGGGAAGGTTGCCAGAGCATTCCCCAGAGGATGAAATGCAACCACCCATTTAAGAGCAGCAGAAACAAAGGAGGGCTTACGGCCATGAGGAACTTCCTTGGTGTTACTCTAGGTGCTAGGGTCAAGGCAGCCAGCCATCTGAGTGATCCCAGGGCCTTGGACACATGCTTCTCACTTAGAGACAATATTACAGGGTGGTTAGGAGCAAGAGTTTGGAGTTAGATTGCCTGCATTCAAATTTTTGAATCTGCCACTTCCATGTTTCATGACCTTGAGCAAATTATTTGATCTATAATGCTCTAGTGCCCTCATCTGAAAAATGCAAATAATAAAAGTATCTACTCTCAGAGAGCTGTTGCAAGAGATATATTAGATAATGCATGAAAGCACCAAGCATAGTGCCTGGCATATGGCAGTAAAATGTTAAGTATTCTATATCATGAGGAAGATCTGGGTTTTGGATACACAAGCCTAGATTTCTGACAGCCCGAGGGGAAAGTAGGGACCCAGAGCAGAGATTTAGTGCAAAAGACAGATCAAAGATCCATAAAACTGGCCTATAATGTTGGGTCAGAATCTGTGAAGGACAACGATCTCTTCTCCGTTTCACTGAGGTGCTCCTTGCCCAAAGCAGCTCTTGCTCCCTTGGATATCAAAGATAGCTTGGGTACCACCACCTGCCCAGACTGCCTTCTACCCACCCCCTAGGACCTACCTCCAGTCTCTGCTCCACTATGGAGAAGATCCGCTCTACCCCAATACTGAGCCCCACACATGGCACCTTGCGCCCTTTGGGGTCAAACATGCCCACCAGCCCATCATAGCGCCCTCCAGCGGCCACACTGCCCACACCCAGGGGCTCTTCCCCGGCCTGGGCAGGGGTCTGTAGCAGCACTGCTTCATAGATCACTCCAGTATAGTAGTCCAGCCCTCGAGCAAGGCTCAGGTCAAAGGAGATCTGTGGAGACAAGGGCATGTTCAGCACCAGATTAGGATCAGGGACCTGAAGCCCCAGAGCTCAGCCAGGGCTCTCATCCCCAACTTGACTCACCTTGTCATCAATGCCAAACAGGGTCAGGTACTCAAATAGCAGCTTCAGGTCTCCTAGCCCCTCCAAGGCCAGCTTATTTTGGGAAAGTTTAGGGTCTTGGAGCAGCTGTTCCACCAGGGACACCCCACCTGGGGAGACAGATTTGTGAGTGAGACCAGGAGAAAAAAGGAGGGGGTCCACTTACACACACACACACACACACAGTTTTAACTTTCTGAATGGTTGAAAAGTTGGGATGGCTGCTGGGGAGGCTGGGATCTGCTCCTTACCATGCTGCTGGACGTAGTCCCCAATGTGGTCAGCCACCTCGGGTGCAAGGCCTTTCTCTCTCACCATCTCACTCTTCACTTCCTCCCAGGACACCTGGGCAGACAGACACCAGTCAGGGAACCCTGGGCAGCTTCAGCACAACACAGCAAGTGTGAACTCTCCTTGGGGAGCAGTTTTGGAGCAGTAGCTGCCTTTCAACCTACATCCTGGAGCTAATCTTCCTCTGGTGGGTATAGAGGCAGGCACCTCGCTCTCCTAATCTTGTTTTCCATTGCTCAAGGCAGGGTGGGATCTCGGAAAAGAAGAGTCAGGTGACTGGGTCGTTACCTTGTCTAGTTTGTCCACTGAGGAGCAGATGGTACGGAACTTGCTATCAGGAACACCACAGATGGCAAACATTCCATCTAGAATTCGCCGATCATTTACCTGTGGGGACCCAAGGCATAGTGAGGAGGGATTCTCTTTCTTTTACATGACTCTCCTTGGTCACTTAGGGTACTGGTTTCTCTGCATAAAGACCTTCTCCTGTGAGAGGCCAGGCCAACGTTTGCCTTCCCAACCCCATTCAGCTTTTACCTTGACCAGGAAGTCACCTATCTGAAGTGAACTCAGGATCTCGCACATGATCTTCAGGCACTCTGCATCAGGGATCATGGGATCAAATTGCCCAGCAATGTCAAAATCCTGCAGGCAGAAGGATAGCCAGAGGTTCTTAGGGGTCCAACCTTCTTAAGAGGGGACTCCTGGGATCTCTGCTCTCTCTGTGAAGGCCTGTTTGCACAGAAGCACAGATCTTCTCCTTCATTCTCTATGTCTGGTCATCAGCTCAGACCCCAGCATTCTTGGGCCTCTCACTAGTCCTGGTTTTCTTTCCATCTATTAGGCTATTCCTTCATTACTTACTTCATCATCTTCTTCCTTAATTCCTCCTATTGATGTGAGGCAATTATATGGCCTTAGCCATTTTCTCTATTCATCCAGAAGCCCTGCCTCAATCTGGATGATTTGGTATCTCAAATCTAATCTCCTCATCCTCTTCTGTGATCCTATCACTGGTTTAATATGAAGAGCACTGAGCAAGGGTTCTAGTCCAGACTTTGCCTTTCTTATCCCTGTGATCTCTTCATCTGCTATCAAGTTTACCCATATGTAAAATGGGGAGATTAATCCCTCTCCTCTCCTCCGCATAAGGCCATTGTGAAATCTGATACAACAGAAACCTTAAACTGTTATCTGGGATATCCAGTTTGCTCAGGACACCATTAGTACTCGACAGATTCTTCTGGCTGGGTGGAGTATTTGAGTTACCCATCCAGCCACTCGGTTTCCTAACACTTACACACTGGTAGAATTCCCGATATCGGCCACGGGTCATGGCTGGGTTATCCCGCCGGTACACCTTTGCTATGTGGTAGCGTTTAATGTTGGTCAGTTTATTCATTGCCAAATATCGAGCAAAAGGAACCTGATGACAAAGAGTTAAGGAGAAAGCCCTTCCTGTCACTGTCTGGAAGTTGATTATCACCACCAACAGAAGCTGGCATCTAAACCCACCCTGTGTGCGTAAAACCACCGCCCATAAAATTTACAGTATTTCTAAACATCAGAATGAATTAAATGTGCTACCAAAAGGGGCAGCCAGGGCCGGCCCGGTGGCGTACTGCTATAGTGCGCCGCTTGGGAAGTGCGGTGGCGCTGCCGCCGAGGGTTCGGATCCCACATACAGACCGGCTGCTCACTGGCTGAGCGAGGGGCAGGACCAACACCGAGGGTTGCGATCCCGTGGCCGGTCCCAGTCCGGTACAGGTGCGACACTGAGGGTTGCGATCCATTGCCGGTCACGAAAAAAGACAAAAAGGAAAAAAAACAAAAAACAAAAGGGGCAGCTGAAGTCTCAAAAAGATTAAAGCTCAATTCTCTTTGGTAGTTTCTTTTCTAAACTATGCTGGGCATGGTAGGGGGCTGGACAGATTGGCCAAGGAACAGAAAAAGGGCCTCATGTGGTATCTCTAAGAAGATGATTCTCTGCGTAGCGTGGAGATAAAGGAAATGTGAAGTTGGTCAATTAAGGAGAACTTTGTCCACTGGACAGGTTAGGGGAGAGATATTCTGGAGCCATGGGATTGTTGTAGAGATGGAACTGGGCTGAGGTGTCACTTAGGATTCAGAAGATTTCTGAGGCTGTGCTCTGTTAAGCCAAAGTCCCACTCCTGGTTTAGAGAAGTTAAGTTCCCTAATTGCCAAAGGCCTCATAGTTGATCTACTTAAGTATGCCTGTCCCTAAACCTGAGGGTAAAAATAGTCCCAGCCCAGTGAGGGCCAATCCATCCAAAGTCTCAAGAGCCCAAGTTTAGAAAGATACAGTGAGGTCATAGCGAAGGGACAGCAACTCTCCGCCCTGGTCCTTCAGGTCATAGATAAGCTTAGAGTCTTCCCCATACTTTCCAGTCAGTGTTTCCTGGAGAAAACATAAAGATATGTGGTCACAACAATAAATCTAATAACTTAAAAGGAAGTTTTGAAAACAAAAACCCACCACTCTAACATGACTGATTTCAACTTGTTTACATTTCCCTCTGCTCTTTATCCTAATGTTTATGTATTTGATGTTGTTATAATTAAAAGGAAATATCAATTTTGTGTTGATTTTCTGCTTATCACATTTTCATTTTGTGACAGAGCTGAAGTATTATTTTTAAGAGATGTATAATATTCTAGTGAGAAGCTCTGTATTGACTTCCTTCCTAATGTTATATTGCTAGATGTTTAAGTTATTCCAATTAAAAAAAAATTTCTGTATCATTCCAATAAGAATATTTGGGTACATAGCTTTTTCTTTTTTTGAATATTTTTCTCGAGGATAAACTCCTAGCAGTGGGTTATTAGACCAGAGTTTTGAACAATGTCAAAAGCCAAAACTGAGAATGTCTTAAGGCTTTCATAGCCATCCTTGCCCTGTGATGTCTTTAACAGGTGATAACATATTTCACTTACCAGACTGGCAAAGATTAAAAAGCCTGAAAATTTCCAGTGTGTAGAATCAGAAAACTCTCATACACTGGTTGGTATTATGGGCTGAATTGTGTCCCCCCTCCCCCCAATCCATACATTGAAGTCCTAACCCCTTGTAACCTCAGAATGTGACTATACTTGGAGATATGGTTTTTGAAGAGGTAATTAAACTAAAATGAGTTCAACTGGATGGGCCCTAATCCAATATAACTGGTGTCCTTATAAGAAGAGAAAATTTGGACACAGAAAGAAGATGATGTAAAGACAACAGGAGAAGATGGTCATCTACAAGTCATGGAGAGAGGCCTAGAACAGATGCTTCCCTCGTGGCCCTCAGAAGGAACTGCCCCTGTCAATACCTTATCTCAGACTTCTAGCCCCGAGAACTATGAGAAAATAAACTTCTGTTGTTAGGCCACCCAGTCTATGGTACTTCGTTATGGCAAGCTTAGCAAAACTAACACAGCTGGTAAAAATATAAATGGGTACAATCTTCTGACCCAGCAGTTCTATTTACATGAATTTACCCTGCAGATAAAAGCCCACCATTAGTAGACATCGTTCTAAGCATTGAGTATACATCAATGAACAAGACAAAGGCAGTCCATGCCCACAAGGATCTTCTACAATAATGAGAAGAAACAGGTACTACATTAATGCAAAAAAACAAATTAACAGATAATTTTAGATAATCATAGCTACTTTAAGGGAGATAAAATGGAGATGTGATAGAAGGACAAGGGCTACTTTACACAAGGTAGCTGGAGAGGATTATTTGAGGAATGACATTTTTAGCTGAGATCCAAAATTAAAATCTGCAGTCTCTAATTTAATCTAAAATGCAAAGAGCTGGGGAAAAGGGAGTTCAGGAAAATAGAAGAGCAGGAACAAAATCTGTGATGTAGAAACATATTTAATATGTTCCAGGAATAAAAAGATGAACAGAATAACAGTGAGTAAGAGGAATAGCATGGGATGAGGTGAGAAAGGCAGTGGCCTGATCATCTAGAGCTTTGTAGACCTGAATAAAGAGTTTGGATTGTATTATAAGTGCAATGGGAATCACTGGGGTTTAAGCAGGGAGTGATGCAATTTGGTTTTTAATAGCAAAGAACTAGAACAACCTCAATGTCCATTAGTAGAAGACTAGTTGCATATTTATACTTTATATACACATGGTTTGCACATATCTAGAAAATATCTCAAGTACAGGTGCCATGCAATTCAATGTAGACAGGATCCAGAACAACTTCCACTCCTAAGGGGTCTCGTTTGGAAGCTGCCGGACACAATCAAGATAAATAAAAGGCAGAGCCTCTCCCTCCAAGCCAATCCTGTCCCCCTTCTCATTAGAGAAAATACTGGTCTGTGTCCACAATATGACTGGGGCCTTTGGGCCCTCACTCTCTTGTCAACCTCTTTGCTATTCATATACCCACTCTTCCACCATGCAAATGTGTGTTACTCCTTACCCATCCCTCACCTTTAGTTCAAACACAGGTGTATCAATTACTTCTGCACCATGGCGCTTAAAGCAACGGATGATTACATCAAACACCTTCTCCCGAACTGCCATCTGCCGGGGACTGTAGTCTCTTGTGCCCTTGGAGTCAAAATCAGCCAAAGAATCAGGGATGAGATTTAAAATCAAAGTACAATAAATTCTGGAAATATAAAAGGATGATCTCAACAATGAGAAAAGCAAATCCTGCCCCAAACTTAGATTTTCCTACAGGCCACTGAGTTGTAAAACGCGTACAAACAACTCCCTATTCTCATACCCTTTGCTATCAGCCTTTCTAAATTCCATTCCATTTTTAGCTTGGTTCTATTTTCTAGAATTCTGAAGCAATTCTTCTAAAAACTCTTTCTGGGAAAACAACATTTCCCTGCTGAATTAAAGAACACCTACCTGATGACAGGCACATAACCAACTCAAACCAGCTCAACTATTTGAATTCCAAATTTTACAAACAACTTTTCTCTTCCAATATAATTTTACTTTTAAATCCTTATTAGTACTATTTGTTCTCTAATTTCTTTCTGGTAACAGCCCTATGATGTAGGCTGGGCAGATACATTTTATAGATGAATTACAACATGTTGATAAATTAATTCATTACTTAAGGCCATTCAGCTAGTTTGTGGCAATTGGGACTAGAATTCTGTTCTCCTTCCAGGTCAGAGCTTCTAGTCTGGGCTTTTACACCCTACTCCAAAGTAGCAGTTGGTCTCAGGACCTCTTTCCACTCTTACTATGTATTAAGGACCCCAAAATGGATTATACCTATCAATACATACTGTATTAGAAACTAAAACTGCAAAAAATTAAAATATTTACTAATTTATTTAACAAATAATAATAAATCCATTACATGTTAACACAAATATTTTAGGAAAATGTAACTAATCTCCAAAACAAAAAACCTTAGGAGAGTGGCATTGATTTACATCTTTGCAAATCTTTAATGTCTGGCTTAATAGAAGATAGCATTTTGTATTCAATTTGTTGTGATATGTTGTGCTGAAGTATATGAATAAAATCTAAACCTACACAAATATATAGTTGTGAAAGGAAGAGTATTTTAATATGCTTTTCAGCTAACTGTATATTCTTTGATAATACACCAAATCGAACAAGTAGTAATTCTTAAAGATTGGTTGCAATGTGTAATCTGAAAGCCATCAATGAACTTTTCATCCTGTTGATTAAAATCCTTTAGTCTCTCACTTATGTAAGGTACATAGAATAGTCAAATTCATAGAGACAGAAAGTAGGATAGTAGTCACCAGGGCTAGCGGGAGGGTAGAGTGAGGAGTTATTGTACAGAATTTCAGTTTGGGATGATGAAAAAGTTCTGGGGATGGACAGTATGATGGCTATACAACAGGATGAATGTATTTCATGCTCCTGAACTGTACACTTAAAAATCATTAAAATGGTAAATTTTGTTAATATATATTTTACCACAATAAAAAAAAATCCATTACTGTATCTTGTACTTTGAAAGGATCTTTTACCCATGTGTGATTTTATAACTTCAAACAGTGATCATTTTGAAAATAATCATTGATAACAGTTATACAGATCTTCCAAATGTCAACACACTTCATTATACAGTATCAGAAAACTGTATTTGTCAGTATCACCACAGATCTCATCAGGGAAGTCTTTAAGTGTTGGGAAGCTGTGAAGCTCATGGTAGAAGATACAAGATTTCTAAAATTCTAATTTTCACTTGAAAACACTTGAATTTTATCACTGGCAACAAGTACTATCAGATGTTTTCCTTGAGGTGACAAGACCCACTTTGTTCATTTTTGAGAAAATGTCTGCCAAATATTCAAGTCTGAAAAACCATAATTTGTCTTTCAGTTCTTTCAAATTAAAAAGGTGTTCTGTGAGAAAAGTAGCTATTCAGCTCAACTCTACAATGGCATAAGCATTTTCTCTACCTCGGAATGCAGCAGAAGTGCTTTATGTGTACTTTCTTTTTCATCATAGCGAATATTAAAAAAGAGTGTACGCAAGGGTTGAGACTCAGTAAAATCAATGATTTTTACTGTTTTATCAAGGATATTAAGTGAAACCGATTATTATTATTATTATTTTTTTTTTTTTACTGTGAGTGCATGGTAGTATAGAACATACTGGCTATTAGTACAGTTCAGTGCCACTGTCTTGATTCGAGCTAAGGCGCCAGCAATTCTAATCACCAGTGCTTTTGCACCCTCAGTGCAAATGTTAACACAGTGAAAAAGGCAAATAAGGTCTTAGTATTATTACAAAAATGATTTTGACCAGCAAGACCCATTGAAAGAATCTTGTACCTACCATACTGCGTTTTCTGATAATATGAATCACATGTGAAAAAATGTGTTTCAACAAACTAAAGTGGATATTAACTCTTCAACATAAGCTTATTTTCTTTTAACACTATGTTATGGAAATTTTCTTTATTTTTATTTTTTAAAGATGACTGGCAAGGGGATCTTAACTCTTGACTTGGTGTAGTCAGCACCACGCTCTCTCAAATGAGCTAACCAGCCATCCCTATATAGGGATCCAAATCTATGGCCTTGGTGTTATCAACATCACACTCTCCCAAGAGAGCCATGGGCCAGCCCATGTTATGGAAATTTTCAAAGACACAATATAGAGAACAGTATTATAGATCACCACGTATCCATTACCCCACATCAACAACCATTAATGTTTGCTATTCTTATTTCATTGAAACCTTGACATTTTATCTGCAGTATTTTAAAATAAATCCCAGATATCATATCATTTAATCCATAAATACTTCAGTATGATTCTCTAACACATAAAGAGTTTTTAAAAGTCCCTTATATAAAATGGCATAGTATTTGCATATAACCTACACATATCCTCCCATATACTTTAAATCATCTCTAGATTACTTATAATACCAAATACTATGTAAATACTACGTAAATAGTTATTACACTGTATTTTATATTTGTATTATTTATTATTGTTGTATTTTTTTTTTCCTGAATATTTTCGAACCTCGGTTGGTTGAATCTGTGGATACAGAACACGCTGATATGGAGAGCCAGCTCTACCTATTCGTTTCCAGGCACCCAGTCTCAGCTTCTTAGGGTAAATAAACCACATGAATAACTAATACAAGTCGGTTCACTAACAGGAATATGTATGTAGTGCCAAGGGAACCCAGATGAAGGGCCAAGTAGTTTTGTTTATAAAACTTACAGAAAGTGTGGCATTTAACCTGAAATCCTGGAGGATGAGCTAAGAATCTCCAATCTCATTCCACTCTACTCTCTCTCTCCATTTGGTTCTAGCCATGTATGTCTTTTTCTAGTTCCTGGAAACTACCAAAGTTCTTTCCTGCTTCAGGGTTTCTTTCCATACTCCGCCTGGACCTATCTTTCTCACACCTTTTCCCCAGCTATCTCCCACTCACCCACTAGGTCAGTTAATATATTACTTCTATATCTTTCTCACTTCTGAGAAAGTGAGGCTTTCTCAGACTCCCCAGTTCTCCTGAGCATCCTTGTTAATTTATTTATATCGCTTATCACAATTTGTAATTACATATTCTTGTGTGGGATTATTTGTCCTAAGTCTGTCTCCTTCAGTGGAACAGCTCCATGAGGGCAGGCCATATTGTCCACCATGGTATACTCAGTGCTTGGTACAGTGCTAGGGCCATAGTAAGTACTCAATATTTACTGAATGAAAGGAGTAGCAGCAGTAGGCTTACTGCCCTGAGCACTAAGCTGGCCTAGTTTCTGCCAACACTTTACCATCCCAGAATGACTCAGGTAGACTCCAATCCAGCCCAGCGCCCAGAGTAACTGTCACGTCCTCTGCAGCATTCCAGAACCGCCTCAATGACCTGGTTCGAGGAAGCACACATATGCGCCCTTGCGAGTGGAATTAGGGACCTTCTCAGAGGCTCCTTAAAGAAATACTATTACCTTGGGGGTTTTAAGCACAAACTTCTGTTTGCTTTCATCAGGGCCCAGCTGTGCTTTCAATTTCAGGAGTTTTGCCACCTCCTCCTCGATCTGTGGAGAGAAAGAAGGCGCTGGGCTATCTATCAGTCACTTTTTCTTCCTCCCCCGCCATTCATTCAATATCACTCCCTCATCAGGTTCTGGGGCAGATCTCTCTGTCCAGGCCTAGCTTTGCTTCTCTCCGGACTCAACCCGGCTACCTCCCCACCCAGCCCATCTTCCTCTCCACCAGCCCTTTATGTCCTCTCTGGCTTTCCCTTGGCTCCTCCCCTGCCGCCTAGGTCGCACCTGCTCTGCGCTAGCCTTCTGCTGTTTGAGGCCCCGCACACGCTCTCCCTGAAGTCGCACCAGCTCCTCCAGCGCAGCACGCTCAGCCATCCCGGCTGCCAACTGGAGATGAGAACTGTCTGAAGGTGCCTTAGCGTCCTCAGCCCCAGCTCGGAATACTTCCGGCTATCGAGTCGCTGGCCCGCATGCCTAGAGAGTCTCCTCTGGGCACAAACGCCACTTCCGGTCCCTACCGGAAGTGTCAAACCCGGCTGCTAAGGGAGCTTGGCAGGACCGGAGCATAGCCTACAGGACTTCTGAGGTGTATAAACGCTCAGTACTTTCGTGGGGCTCGGGCTTTGCCTGCACGGCTCCTTGCATCCTTCTTGGGGTCGGGCCTGCCTCGTTCCCAGGCCTTTGGCACCTATCACGGAAAGCCGGCGTCCTGCCGCACAATGCCCCAGCTCGGACTTCTGCCCAGGAGGACCTGGGCTGCGCTGCTCAGCCAACTCCTGCGACCTCCCCGCGCTGCGTGCACTGGGGCGGTCAGTTGTCATAGCCAGGTGAGCCAGACTGAGATAACTCCGGTCTGTCGGGGCAGGGCCTCTAGGTCTCAAAGCATGGACTCGTGGTCTGTAGTATTATAGTAGTATTACAGTCTGTTTTCATTTGAGTTCCCCCTATATACCGGCACTGAACTAAGCGTCTTGAATCCTTTGTCTTAAAATCCTTAGAGCAATCTTGGGGTTTTAATTTCCATTTTACAGTTGAGAAAAAGGAGACTGCAAGGTTCAAGGACTTCTGTGGATACAAAGTAAGGCAGTATTTTAATACAGATCCACACTCTTTTATCTGAAACTCTTGGAGTCAAATACAGTAATATTTCTTAAGCAAAATATATGAATATTCCCACTGAATGAGATGACTAAAGACCATAAGTAGACTAAAGGCCATGAGTTCACATTAGGATTTACCTCAAAGTGAATCTCAAAAAACATTTTCAGTTTTCAGAGATTTTTGGATTTTCGAATAGCAGATGAGTGATTGTGGACTTAAACTTGGACTTCTCTTGGGGGAAAGAATCGCCATAGTATGCCATAATCACACATCTATTTCTGGAAGGGTATACAGCCTGCTGGTAATAAAGTCAATGATTCTGTTTTGCCCTGTTTCAGAAAGATCCTAATATCCTCTTATAGCAGGGCTTAGATCTTTCTATTAATTTTCAGCATCCTACCAGTCTGGGTTTATTAGTTTGATAATGAAATCCATTCCTTTTTTTTTTTTGGTGGCTGGCTGATCCGGGGATCTGTCCATTCCTTTTTATTACAGAGGCTTGCATGTGTGGGGGCTGATTTTCTCCTGTCTTCAAGTTACAGTTTTCCTGTCTCCAAGTGTGATAACCAGTGCTACCTTATTAAAAATTCTTATTTTCACCATTTGAGTAGGAATTGAGAACTAGAGAAGATCATACTAGTCTTTACCCTTAGATGGTTGGTAGTGGTGGCTTGTTCTGTGTCTTCATTGTTCTCAGGTGCTTAAACATTTTTAGATATTTAAAAATTCCAAATACGGTGAAAAAGCTTGTGTGGTGAACACCTGACATCATATATATTACATGTACAATTGTAGATACAACATGGGTTCTTGAGGTGAGGGGCTGAGACTGCAGTAGGTAAAATGATGCTCAGGCTTCCTTTGTTCAAAATCAAGGGTCTTTGCAGGTTGGTGGTCCACAAGGTCAAAGATGCCACAGGTCTGGCCAGTGTCCAGAGGAGCTACATATCACATTTCTTCTTTTGCCAGGTTGCGGAGGCAGTGTTAACATCCCAAATGAAATCACATCCAGAGAAACCAAATTTTATTATCAAGACCCCAAAGGTAATGCTCTTTGCCCACTGTTCCATTAGAGTGCCTTGGAGGACTGATCTCTGCTTTTCTTGACTCTCTGACCCCTTTTAATGTCCTCTTAAACTAAATTAAAAAACAAAACCAAAACTTTTCTACTGTTGAGATACTGGGTGAGGCTCAGTTGTCTGAACTCAAGAAATTTCAGCTCCAGACCTTAGATTATAGGTGTAGTTTAACGCTCTGTTTTAAATGGGCTTGTTTTTTGTTTTTGTTTTCACTGTGGCTGTTTTTGGTTTCCAGGGCACTAGGGATCTTAGTCCCCAGCAGATGGTTGTGAGGGAGAAAATTCTTGATGTGGTTGTCAGCTGCTTTAAACGTCATGGAGCAAAGACGTTGGATACCCCAGCATTTGAACTAACGGTAGGGGAAGAAGAAAGAGTGTCCTAGAACTCCCATTTCTTCACCTGCCTTTAGTGTTCCAGAGGGCTTCTTGTCTTTGTTCTGGAGTCATTCTTTGACCTGTGGCTCTTTCTGTTTTACCACTACAGGAAATGCTTGCTGAGAAGTATGGAGAGGAGTCTGGGCTCATCTATGATCTGAAGGATCAAGGTGGAGAGCTGTTGTCTCTTCGCTATGACCTTACTGTATCCTTCTTAGTACTGGAGCCTAACCTGTCTCTTTCCAAATTCAGAGGGCTTTTTCTGACAAAAGGGAGGAGAGTGACTCTGGGACCCTATGAGTCCACTGGCAGCAGCCTTTACTTCCAGTTTTTCCTAGAAGGCAATTCTGCCAGCAGAGCGTAGTCTGGAGCCCTGTCATTTTAATGTGTATCAGAATTCCTTGGGGAAGCTTGCAGAAACACAGATTCCTGGCCCTAGCCCCAGAAATTCTTAATTCTGTAGCTGGAGTGGAGTTCAACAATCTGCATTTTAAACAGGTATCCTAGGTAAGTAAGATGCATGTGGCCCTTGTCCTACAGTATCAGAAACAATGGCTTAGAAGTTGTAAGCAAATCTAGGTTCTGAAGCTTGACTATTTTGAGAGGGTTGGGAATTAACCTGAGTGGGAGAGAATGGCCCATACCTGAAGTTCTTGGGCATTTCTTTCTCTGCTTCCTTTGCTTTTTCCTGAAATTTCAGTTTTGCTAGGTGAAATTCCTTCACTTGACACCATTCAATATATATTGAATGGCAAGTACTGCTAGGTCTAGGGGATAGTGGGATACAAGACAGAGAAGGTCCTAGTTCTCATCCTAGTGGATGAGATCCAATTGATAGAGGCCCAGTTCTCCCTAATGTTTAATATTAATATTAATGAATAATCATTACCAATTATTCATTAATATTAAATTAATATTAATGTCTGATAGTAATATTAGGCTTATGCCTAATACCGGGCCTAAGCTTTGGATGCAGTATCCTTCTTTCTTAACCTATTTATGTAAGGTCCCTTTTGCTCGCTATCTGGCCATGAATAAAGTGAAGAAGATGAAACGCTATCATGTTGGAAAGGTGTGGCGGCGGGAGAGCCCAACCATAGTCCAAGGCCGCTATAGGGAGTTCTGCCAGTGTGTAAGTGACCTGATGGGGGGCAGCACAGTTTGATAGTTCTAGGGGCTACAACCTGCGAATTGGCTGATAGGTGGAGGTTTTTTTTCTTGTCTTTTTTTTTTTGCTGTAGGATTTTGACATTGCTGGTCAGTTTGACCCTATGATCCCTGATGCAGAATGTTTGAAGATCATGTGTGAAATTCTAAGTGGGTTGCAGCTGGGGGACTTTCTCATTAAGGTGAGGCCAGGGCTGAGGACTGGGGGAGAAGTCTAGCTTTGGCCTGTTGCTGTTTATACAAATCCCAAAACATAGGTGACTCTAGCCTTTAAGCCTGCAGCTCTAGAACTTCCTTAGCACAGCTATTACATTTCATATGTACATTATATATATACACACACACACACACACACACATACATATGTGAATAGATTTATAATTCCTGTGAGATTTCCTTTCTATCCCTTTTATGAGTCAGGAGAATAGGGACTGCTATTGAGGGAAAGGGCATTGACAGAGCACTTGGGTTGCTTACATTGAGTTCACAGGTTAATGACCGGCGGATTGTGGATGGAATTTTTGCCATTTGTGGTGTTCCTGAAAGCAAGTTCCGTGCCATCTGCTCCTCGATAGACAAACTAGACAAGGTAACAAAGAAGAAATGCTTTAGTAGACCCTATCTGGGTTTCTACCTTGCCCTCAAATCCATACCACTAGAGAAAAATAAGGAGATGGTGGCTGGAAATGATCTATTTATGCGAGGAAGGTAAGGATACATTCTGAAGCAAGATCTAAGTTGTGTTGTACAGGGGGGATTGTGGCTGGATTTCTTAAGCTGCCTCTGACTTGACGCAGTATATTATTAGCTACTTGTGACATACATACTGAATGAAAGCGAGATGTCCTTTTCCAGTTAGAGGAAGAAAGATTTTGGGGCTGGACTAATGTTTGGGTGTTTATGCAGATGTGTTGGAAAGATGTGAGACATGAGATGGTGGCAAAGAAAGGCCTGGCTCCTGAGGTGGCTGATCGAATTGGGGACTATGTCCAATGTCATGGTAAGGGGGTTTTCAGAGCTGTGATAGAACCAGGCTGAGGGTGACGTGTTCAACCTATATCTCTGAAACAGCTCCCTTCCGTAGATGTGCTAAGCTCCACAGCCTGACCTGAATTTAATTTTCCGTTTACTTAGTGTAACCACTTTGTGTCTTCATATGGCAGAGGTAGAGGCAGAGGAGGAGGGTCTGGTCATATGAGACAGGATCATCATCTTTTTTTTTTTTTAAGAAAATGAGGATGACTAACTAGAGCACATTAGGAATAAATTTGGATGAAACACATCTGGATGAACATTACAGACCTTATTTTTCCCTACTGTTCTCCACAGGTGGCGTGTCTCTGGTAGAGCAAATGTTCCAGGATCTCAGACTATCCCAGAACAAGAAGGCCCTAGAGGGCTTGGAGGACCTGAAGCTGCTATTTGAATATCTGACTTTATTAGGAATTGCTGAGAAGGTAAGCTGAGTTGGGAGTGGACCTCCTGTTGAGGTCATCAAGCTCTATTCTGGGGTTGTCAGCATTCTGAGTCTAGTCTGAGATTAACTATAGCCTTATTCCCTCAGGTCTCCTTTGACCTAAGCCTGGCTCGGGGCCTAAACTACTATACAGGAGTGATCTATGAAGCAGTGCTGCTACAGAGCCCAGTTCAGGCTGAAGGAGAGCAGCCTCTGAGCGTGGGCAGTGTGGCTGCTGGTGGACGCTATGACGGGCTGGTGGGCATGTTTGACCCCAAGGGCCACATGGTACCGTGTGTGGGGCTCAGCATTGGAGTAGAGCGAATCTTCTACATTGTAGAGCAGAGGATGAAGGTAGGTCCTAGGTAGGGGTGAGGTGGGACTGGAGGTCTAAAAACACTCCTGTTTCTGGGATGCAGTTGGACAGTTTCTGATGCTTCTTTTTGTCTTCCTTTTTGGAATTGCTGATGCAAAGGACTTTTTTTTTATTAGTTTTACTTTATTCTCTCTCAATTTATTAGTCTTTTGGTGAGAAGGTACGAACCACAGAGACCCAAGTATTTGTGGCCACACCACAGAAGAACTTTCTCCAAGAACGGTTGAAGCTAATTGCAGAGCTTT